CCTGTAAAGCCTCCATAACTTGTCGTCGAACTTCTTCTTGTACTAGCTCCCGAGGAATTGATGTGGACGACGCCCGGTCTGAGCCGTCTGGCTGAGGCACAGGCGATGACCCATAGAGAAGAGGGGCCCTTGAAGGCCATCTCTCCATGGTTCTCTGCGCAGCCGTGGAAAAGAGCGGGGTAGCCGAGGATGTAGCCATTGAAGCCTGCTGAGTCTGCTGCTGTAGGTCCGGCGTATGTAACGGTGAGGTAGTCGATCTCCTGTATGTATGCTCCTGCATCACCATACCGCCTTCCCTTGACCCTGTCACCTGCTGTCTTGTCAGTGCCGTAAACGTCTCGACGGGTCCGGTAGCACGCTGCAGAAACTCGTTCAGCCTTCCCATCCACTTAAGCGCAGGCGGCCATTCAGTAGCCGCACCGGAACTCCGTAGATTACTCGAAGGGTCCCTCAACGGCGTCCCTTCATCAACTCCAGGCCCCAAGCGGGCTATCTCCGGAAGTCTAGGGGGAGCCATCGGCGGCTCCACTGTCCTTTCCTCTGCAGTTTGTCCTCCACCTTGAGCCGCCATAGACGGCGACCAGGGAAGCGACTGAATACTCTGGGGCGATGGCTCCGGCCTATCCACACCATTTGGCAAAGCAGGAAGCGCCGCCGCATAATCCGGAGCCCTTTCTTCGCCCTCTAAGCCAGGCCCTGCAGTTTGGGCTCCCATAACCTGTTGGTCAAAATGACCCTCAGAGTTCGCTGGTTGGGCCATGGCTCTTCTTCTATAAAGAAAGATAATGACTACAACAGTATACGAAGAACAAATAAGCGGATCCCAGGATTCGAACCCCACACAAGACGGACAAGAAACGCAAATCAAGCTCCAAAGTCGGTCCCTGAAGTCCCGGAACCAGCCTAAAGGAGGGAAGGGGAGCTACGCGAGGGCAAGGGGTACCTGGCCTGAGCCTTGACCACCTTCCCAACACTACACACAACCCAACCCAACCTAACCCACCCTCCTACAAACGGCCTGAAAGGCCTCGCTTCGGAGGGGGCTGCACTTTTCATGCTTGAGCCACGATGTTCGTGGAGTCCCTGCGTTAGACACACAAAGTCGCCTCTAAGAGGC